ATTTGAGGTCGTAGACCGACCCTGGAGGGTAACAAAAAAACTTTATTCCCGTCGGAAAAAGCCATTGTGGACGTTAAATATGTTTATATATCGTATTTTCTTATATAAGCACTAGCTGCATCCCGTGCTCCGCCACGGTAAATCTTTTTAAAATATACCAACTTTGGAACAGAACAAAACAAACAAAAACACAACACAAACACAAACAAAACACAACCACAACCACAACACAACCACATTACAACCACAACACAACCACAACCACAACACAACCACAAAACAACCACAACACAACCACAACCACAACACACGGTAAATCTTTTTTAAATGTACCAAGTTGGGAACAGAACAAAACTAAATACAACACAAACGAACGCAAAGAAAAAACAAAAACGAAAAAACAAACACAACACTCAACATAAACTCAATTTAAATGTAATCATAAAGGCATATTGCTCACAGTCTATCCCGTAGCGCCAAATCGCGCCCTTTCCGAGCGCCGGCGGAAAATTTCCATTTACACCCTCCCACCTCCCTCAAAGTTTCGATTTCCACCCTCCCCCCCCTTGCTACGCCTCTGTTATAAAACCCCTAGCTTTTCCGCAAATAAATTAAAGGCAGTATTTAGAATATCTGTGTTTTACCGACCATATTGCACTTTATAAATTCATGCATTTTTTTCAGTACTTTTAAAAATTTACAATAAAGTTTCATGACTAAAACCATTGCGCACCTAATGAACGTGATGACTTAATATAGTAATGGAGAATAGTTGATTAAAAATTATAATTAGTAAACAGTACATTCAGTGAATAAAATAAATAAAAGATAGCCTTTTATCAATCAATGCTAATAATAATATTCCAACAATAATCTACTCTTACATGTCTGCATAATTTGCATTCACATTTTGCTAATTATATTATTCCAACAATTATTCCGTCTTGCAGATTTTGCATTCACATTTTTAGCGTGAGTTCAATTTATCTTTGAATTACCTCCATTGGCATAATTACTAAGCAGTTTAATTAGATTTTTCTACCGTACTGTTATTA